ATATTTATTTCATTTCATATTCAAATTCTTAATATTAATCTAATGTTCAGATTGTTTTAGACAAATCTTTTTTCACTGTCTTTTCTATTAAGTTTAATAATAACCTATTATTGTATATACGAGTCATCTCTGGTTATTTATGCTTCAAATACTATAGATTTCTGTCAGATTTGGTAAAAGTATTTATTTATGAATTTAAAGTGTTTTCATTGACTCGTAAACTAAGGAATATCTCAATATTATTGTAATATTGTGTAAAATTACATATCGATACATTTTATATCTATTTATTATATAGTATAAAATAAAACAATTGTTTTTGTGTTACATTTATTTTTTATTTTGTTTGATATACTCTGTTGTGATATTTGGCCATTTGTTACATGCACAATTATTAAAATTTGTCATTTGTTTGTATGACAAAAAGTGATGGAATTTTAGTGACATTTACAGTTAGCTCAAAATTACAAGAATTAATTAAATTTACTCGAAAATGTTTTTTTTGTGTTTTGTCTATAAATTTTGAAAAGTTACGAGTAATAGGCGTATTTTTAATATTTGTTATTTATATATCATCAAATATACGGTACTGTATTTTAAAGACATGTTTTTTCTACTTCATCTACTTTACTTAAAAGATACTTAATCTACAGCATATGTTTAGACATAGAGTAAATGTAGCCATAGCTGTAGCACGTTTGTGGTCATTCGCTGATTTTGACTTTAGATCTCACATCTGACTATAAAGATAACCACCAATTATTCTTTCTATCAAACATTGTTTCCTTTTAAGTGTGCAATGAATCGGAATTTATACAAAATATATAAAAATGTGTCAATTTATTCATATATTTTGAGTTTTATATATTTAAATGACTGCAACTTTTGATTAAATAAGTGAATAAATAATATATTTAATCATCGGTTTCTCAGAGTGTATGCAATGGTGTGAATGTGTATCGACTGATAGAATGAATGTTGAATTTAACGGCAAAACCTCTTCATCTCATTTATCAGTTTTGAAAAGCGTATAAAATGATGCATTGATTCAATCATTTATCGCTAAATTTGTTGAATTAATTATTTACTCTTTTAGTTATAAACGTATAACAAAATAAACAACTATTTAGATTTAAAATTACAACCATTATCAACTCAACTAACTTTAACTTGTGTTGATTCAATGCAGCCATTATTGTTGTGCTAAACATAATTTGATCATCACTATGAGGTTGGCTGAGAATCAGTAATTCTGAGCATGATTGAATCTCAATTTCACATGATACTCGCAATTCTTGATGCTTAATTTCAAAATTAGGGGTATCCATAATCTCATATAAAATGTTATTTGCAAAATACTGGTAGACACCTTGATCCTGTTAGATATACCATGTTTATTCTGTCTACCATGTATGTACACATAGTTGAATGGCACCTAATTGGTTAAAATGAAAATTTATTAATTTTTAACCACAATTCATATATGAAAAATGTGGTTTATAGAATTGTTCGCTCTATTGGGTTTAACATGGGATTACAGGTTAAGTCTATGGCTATACTTTAACATGGAGCTAATGTTATCCTGTAGGACTAATGTTAAGTCTATGGGTAATGCTTTTCCTATAAACTAATATAAAGTCTGTAAGATCCTTTGAGCACCCGAATTGTGGTTAGGCTATAGCATAGCGTGTAGTTCTTGTTATTCTTAAGCATCACTTTTGAAACAGCAGATTCTTCTGACAAATCATTTGTTTACAAGAATTCTATTTCTAATAAAAGTTTATGACTATTGCTATAGTGTTTGAGATATTTTAATGTTAATCACAAACACATTTAGTTTTATTAAATGCTATCAAATATTTTATATAATATTAAAATATAAATATGCCACTAAATCGAAGTATTGAATAATATATAGATTGCATTCATAAGTAATTAGCATATTATGAATTACTATTGATTTATTAACAAATGTATAATTGTGTCAAATTTTGAAAAATATCTACAAATAAACATAAATATAGTGATTCTGTAGCAAAATAGTCAATATATAGTAAATTGTAAAACTAATACATTTGAAATGAATATTATCAATGGTAATTGCAGAATATATTTCCAAATATGATACCGTACTCTGAAATTATATAATATTAATATTATGTTATATAAATTATTACAATATACAATAATAAAAGAGGTGAATCAATACAGATTAACTTATACTACAATATATTATATAATATCGGGTTTTTAATTAAATGTGTTTTTAATTATTTTTATAGATTTGTTACAATTTTTTTATATAAATTAATTTTGAAAAATTTTTATTTGCAGACAAGAAATATTGATTTATATCGTAGACAACGAAACGTACGAAAAGGATGCCGTCTTTTATGTTGAATTGGGTGAACCCGTGAGAGATGAAGGTATTATTCCTACGAGATATGCATTTTTGATTTGAAAAATAATTATATTTTTGGTTTTGTTTTTTGTCACGACAAGAATCAATGGAAGAGTTTGAGCGGCAAAGAGACCCAAACAGTAAAATATCGTTTGACGAGAAGATCGCACAATTGGGAAAACCAAAGTTGGGAGAGATATACCGGTGCGCCGTTCGCATCAAAGAGAGCAAAGAATTTAAGGTTTAGTATTGCTATTTCATATTTAACGTAAGCCAACGCTTAAATTTGTCGATAAATTTGCATTTTCCTGAAACCCGAGTCAATAATAAATGACTTTTATATGAATGAAACGCAAGAAATGCATTTGTTTCAAACAATTTCTCCCATTTAAATGACTTTCCTTTAATAAAAAATAAAAAATGAGAGAAAATAATGAAAACATAACAACATTTTTAATAAAGAATCCGAATTAGAATTTTGCTTATATTCTGGAATTTTATTTATTTAATAATAAAATATATTTATAAGAAATGCAATGATTTATATTCCTATCATATTTTGATAATTTGAAGTAAAGCTGAGAACACTTTTATTTTATTCTAAGACATGACTCGACTCTATGACCGATCGTTTCTTTCAATGATGTCTTAATTCGTGCAAAATATCGCGTCTATTGATCTGATTGTTAGGAAATACCATAAATTTTGCTTTGCTTTACGGCTCACCGTTTCTTAATATCTTTTATTATTAAATTGTTTTTCTCAAGAATTTCTTCCGAGTTATACAATAGAAAGAGAAAATATTGCACAGAATTTTAATGAGTGTTTCATTGCTTTTCATGTGTTAGAAATTGCCGGCACTTATAGTCACAGAGAAATTTAAGTTTAAAAACACATATATTTTTAACAATTAATTCATTAAATAGATGTCAAATAAATACGAACTGAAATCCACTTAGAATTCTCATAATTTACACATTTTGAACAATAAACATAAAAACCACACAATATTCTCAAATATTTTCAAGTTTCGGATTAAATAAATAGACAGTAATTAAAGTTTAAGTACAGCATATATTCAATGGTTTATTTATTTTGTTTTTATAATGTATGCGTAGAACACTGTCGACAAATTAATATCCAAAGCAAACACTAAGATAATGATGGGTACGTCTTCTTGGAAGGACCAGTTCATCGATGCCATCACTGTCTCAGCAGGTCTTACCATTAATGCACACAAATATATGCCATAATTCGTTGAATAACTCATTTATTTTTGTTTATTTGGTTTTTCAATAATAAAGGCGACGACGAAGAGGGAGATGACGAGGAAGGAGATGGAGGAGAGCGGGAGGAGAAACTGCCCACTTGTTCTGATTATGTCATGCATTTGTTCACACTTTTCTGGAAGATTCTGTTCGCTTTTGTGCCGCCGACAGGTATTGTTCGTCTTTTCCCAAACCCTCAGCTCTTTATGTCATAACTAGAGATGAGATTATTCGGGAATAAAAACCTCCAAATTCGGTCGGGAACCTGCAGTAAATTCGGGAATATTCGGGAATTAACAATTATTCAGTTCCAGCACAAGAGTTATACATTTAAATCATTTTAAAATGAATGTATAAACACAAATTTTGAAGTTTTATTCTGTAAGTCTATGTCTTCTATTTGTAGGAATATTCTTAAATTGAGAGAATCAACGCTCAATATCGTTGCAACAATCGGTTCATATTTTGTTAGACGTCTTATCTTAAAATATTGCGAATTTTTTAAATAAGATTTTTAGTTTTTTATGAAAAGAGTGCGTTTTATGGAGTATTTTGCAAAAAAAATCGGAATTTTTCTCTAAAATATTCCATATACGGGAATTTTAGGGAAAATAAAATAGTATATTTTTGCTCTATTATAATCTCCAAAACTAACTGAATGTTATTCCCGAACATTCTATTTGCTAATTTTATTCGGGAATTCCCGAAGAATCTCATCTCTAATCATAACTCTTAGAGCCTATGCGTCGCTTGCATTCAAAAATTCGTCATCCCTTTTGCTAAATCTGTTGATTAATGAATATTTTAGAGCATTTTAATCATCATATGATATATGATATTCTCGTTTAGAGAATTCTCTTATGAAATATAAAGTATTTACATTAAAATGCATAACTACAGAATATAGAATTGTATATAGAAATGAAATCTAATATAAGGAGAATTATACTGATTGTTATTATTATTATTATTATGTGTTGACAATCGGTTGTTCAGATTATTTCAACGGTTGGCTGTGTTTTGTTGTGTCCATAATAATGATCGGAGCACTCACTGCAGTCATCGGTGATCTGGCCTCACATTTTGGCTGCACTGTTGGTCTTATAGATTCTGTGACGGCCTTCTCGATAGTTGCCCTTGGTACAAGTGTACCAGGTTAGTTGAAACGCATTTTTGCCATCATTTGTTTGTTTGTTTGGCATTTTCTCCATTTATTGTTTGCGAGGTAAGTGTCGGATGAATACGTGAATTGAATGCAATTAATAATGCATTTCAAAGTAAGTCAAGTAATGGTTGTTTCCCCTCAAAAGAGTTTTGAAATAAAAGTGCGAAAAACGTTGAGAACATTAAATGCCAGAAAGAGTTTGCGTTTGAATTAATAAAAGTAACTGTTTGTCAACACATAGCAAACCATATCAATCACATCCCAATAGATTTGCTTTCATTTAAACCATTAGAAGACTAAACATTAATCAATAGAAATGCAAATGATATAAGGGTTGCTATTAATACCAGAAGTACAATGTATGCCAACTTTAACCCCAATAGAAATAGCAGACGGTTGGGCTTGTTTTGTAGCCAGCATTGTATGGATCGGTATTTTAACCGCAATAGTCGGTGATCTGGCCTCACATTTCGGTTGCACTGTAGGCCTGAAAGACTCGATAACAGGTGTGTCATCCTATACCACATCCTTAGTATTGCATTTAGATTCATATTTAACCAAATATTTACTTAACAATAGCCATCTCTTTTGTGGCTCTCGGCACTAGTATTCCAGGTTTGTTACCATATATTTTATATCTATTTCTATAATTAAAATATTTATATCTAAACTACAAAACATATTACATATATATAATTATTTTATTTAATCCTTTGTTAATGTAATGGCTTTTGAAATGCAATTTTATGTTTTGTGTCTGATATACATATTTAATAATTATTTCACTTTTGTTTTTCCTATTTTCCCTAAAATATTATTGTTTTATTCTGTCTCTCAATTCTTAATCTCTATTTCTATATGAAAGGTGAGCTCATAAATAGACTTTTTAATTGTTTTAATAACTGATGAATTATTTGACTGTATGTCTAATTGTGTTTGTATTGAACCGATAGACACGTTTGCGAGTAAAGTCGCGGCACAGAATGACCAGTTTGCCGACTCGTCCATCGGTAACGTGACCGGCAGTAACGCAGTCAACGTCTTCCTGGGGATCGGCATCGCCTGGACTGTGGCAGCTATAGTGCACGCATACAGAGGCACAGTATTCCGGGTGAATCCGGGATCTCTGGTCTATTCGGTCACTTTGTTCAGTATATGTGCTTTCCTTACGTGTATTGTATTGATGTTTCGACGAAGATTTGGCGGCGAATTAGGCGGACCTATGCTCTCGAAATTGCCAACAGTTATACTATTCGTCATATTCTGGTTATTCTATGTATTGATGTCCAGTCTTGAGGCCTATCATATAATTCCCGGATTTTAAGCAATGAAAGACACCATTGGATTGAAAGACAACATTTTAATACATTAAAACATGTCATTACATTATTTCATGAGTTAATTTGAATGAAAAATCTAGACAAAAAGTCAAATATAAATATTTAAGTATATTATTTGGCAAATGATCTGAAGTTTTCTTTAACTCAATTAGTCTCTAATGGAAGGAAAACACCATTTCTTTAATAAAATATACTTTTGAAAGTTTAAGTGAGAGTTATAAACATGACTTGAAATTAATTTACATATATTTCAAAAATGTTATATTAACTAATATTTTGGTGCTATTTCTGAGGCAAAAGATAGTTTCGTTTTTTATGCCATCGTTTCATATAAATAATCATAAAAACAAATAAAATCTTCCGAAAAGTTGGTACCGAACCGAGAGTGGACTCAAATGAGACAGAAGTGATTGGAAATCTACGGGATCTGAATGGATAGACAATAGATTGATATTCAAAACAATTACAAGAAAGTGTACGAATATATACTTTAAAACTTATTAACATTTGAAATAACTTTTAAAAACAAATAATTATTGTCTGACTTCTGATTTAATTATACACCCTATTTATGGTGAGTCTCTGTTGTAATTGTTTTCTCAAAACCATATATTGAATCAAATTTGAATATATTTGAGAATCACTGCCAATACGGTTATTGAGTAAATATAGTCCAAATATATGATTGAAAGCGTTTATCTTTGTCATTTATAAACAAATTTTAATGTATTTAATATATACATAAACACAGTTATATATATTTATACTCATAGGAGGTATGATTTAGTTCAATGTATTGGCGAAAGAATCGCATGCAATGGGGTATCAAATTCTTGATGAACTAAAGCTACTTAAAATGTCAAACAAAAAATCGATGTTATATTGTTTTTCAATTTACACACAAAAAAAGTTAACACAAAAAGCGTATCAAATAATATTTATTGAGCGAAATTGTAATCATTATAGACATTACAATATACAGTAAATTTCCAACGTTTGATACTTAAAAACCTTATCCTTAAAATTTTGATTCAAAAAACGATCTCATTATTAGAGCTGACAGTTTGGGAAATACAGTTATATAGACCAGTGATTGAGATAAAGATCCCTTTGAATTAAATCCATAAATCTCTCATGAATTGCAATATCTTTTAAAGTTTAAATCTCAACCATTTTTGAGCTAACATTGAGAAGAAAATGTTTTGAGAATTAAGTTTGTAATATATATTTAATAGAAATATTTTATATTAATTATGACTTCCATTATATGTGTATGAATTCCTCATAAAATTCTTTAGAGAGTTATTCAAATTATTTCTATTAAATTATATTTACAAATACACACTCGACTTATTTTAGTCTTTCTAAATATTTTTATAAGTTTTATTTTTGATTTAATTTACAAAAATGTTTGTATTCTTAAAAATTGTTTTTAAGGACTGATTATAATTATTTTATAATAACATTTTAAATCACAAACGGTGTTAATTACTAATTTTTTAGATTTACAAAAATTTATTTTGAATAGTATTCAGTGGAAAGTTTTATTTAAACTAATTTTATTCCTTTTCAAACACTACTATTAGATAACATATATTTTTCTTTCTTAAAATATCAGAGTTTTAAGGATTTGGTTTTAAAATACAAAAGTTTGGAAAATAACTAATATATTCAGTACAGTATACAGAATATAAAATACACAAAATCTGTATAATATTAACATTAAATATGATGAGACAGTTTTATTTGTTATAAATATTTTAAATTTTAAAAATATCGAAAAATATTGTGATAACCATTACAATGAATTTTATCACTAAATTATCAAAAGCTACCAAAAAAGTAAATATAAAAATTTAATCAAACATAGCATTAGACTAATTGTTTGGAAATATATAAAAACCGTTTGATAAAAGTTTTCGGTGAAAATTATTTATTCTATTAGAATAATGTTATTGTAATGTCTTTTATGCTAATTATATAGATTTTTGGGATTAATTTAAATAACAAAAGCCCTCAATTCACTCTAATTCTACTCAAATTGTATATTAAATTTATGTCTATTTTATTTAAATTTAAACGAGAATTAAGTTTATGTCTAAACTTATCTATCAGACAATTAGAAGATACTTTGCATTGATTTTAACGTTATTTTTCAACACAAATACAAATATTATATTTTAATTTTGATTTATTTGCCACTAATATAAACCTTTTCACGTTTTTCGCTTCAAATTTCCTATTGAAGTGAATTTATTGTTTAATAAATTTCTTATTTTCAATTTTCTGTATTTTATTGGACGTTAAAATTTGTGTTATGGAGTGTTTGAACAAAATATATTATAATTTATTATTCATGATTCACAACAAAAATTGTTATTAAATTTAATGTGTAAATAATTGATTTACTTTTACTATTATATAGTTTTGATTTGAATTTTAAATATAGACTGTTTAGCATTAAAACTGGGCTGAAATACAAACAATTTAAGTGAATATATTTTACAAAATATCTGTTAATCACTATAAAAATGAATTACAATATATCTATGGGAGGAGTTGTAAAGAGGAGGCGATTCATATTGATTTGCATACACTTTAAGTAATAAACATAAAAAGGGAATTGAGTTCAGCATTAAATATATCACATCCACTGTATTTAAAAAACATTGAAATCTTTTTATTCAAATGAATTTAAAACTGAACCAAAATGTTATTTTTAAATCATTTTGTCTGAATTACATGTTATTGTATGGCATTGTATGGCATTGTATGGCATTGTATGGCATTACCTCTCATTCCTTTTTGATGCCATTCCCAAACACACATTCATTGATAGTCACGTCTCTCTCTCTCTCTCTCTCTCTCTCTCNAGTGGATGTGATATATTTAATGCTGAACTCAATTCCCTTTTTATGTTTATTACTTAAAGTGTATGCAAATCAATATGAATCGCCTCCTCTCCCTCTCTCATTCACTTTCTTCTTCTCACTCACTCTCTTTCACGAGTTTTGTATTTTAAGAAATTTTAGTCTTAAAACTAAAGAAATCTATTTTGTTGTTGTATTTGTTTAGTAGAGAAATAAGTAGATTCTGTAGATTCTGTGCTCGCATTTAATAATTCTTGTTATTATGCATTCCATCTCTATTTAGAGCGTTATCTCCTTCTTATAGTACAATAGGCTTTAACACAACACATATATAAAACAGATATTGTTTGCTATTCTTGAAGAATATATAAATGTATGGCTTATATATCTCTTAGCAAAACAAATCTTTCAAAACATGTAAAATCTTGTGAAACGTCTCCTCTTTAAAACGATTTAAAAATTTACTTTAAATTATAATAAATTGTAAAAATATATTGAATTTTTTATATAAATATAATATTATTTTGTAAATCTATTATAATAGTAAATATAGTTATTAAATAGACTGATAATTAGTTTAAAAAAGAAATAAATAAGAATATTTCATAATTACTTTATATTAAACAATACAACATTTAATGAAATATTATAATTCTGGGAAATAATGACTGTTATTGATGTGAGCATATCATACAATATACTGTTAAGCTATAAATTATATTATATAATGCATTACTATTTTAAAATTTGAGAAAAAATAAATTACAAATACGAAAAAATAAAATAACATTGGTGTATTTTGTCTCAATTATTTAAAATCTACTCAAAATAATTGAATGTATTAACAAATATATTTTAAATCATAATTGTATTGCATTATTTGTATTAATATGATAACTGCTTATATGTTAACATACATTTGAATTCAATTAAATTTGCCAGAATTTTGTTTAAAATGAAATATAAAATAATAAATGTATAGTTAATTATGCTGAATTGAGTTCTAATATATTATTAGATACTTTAGAACATTTATATAAATTATTTGTTGTATAAATTTATATTCTGTTAATATAATAAGTTAAGTAATGTTTTGCTTAAAATGTGTCCAATAGTGAGAGCAATACTCAAAAATTATTTGTATCTAAATTTAAAAATAATTTAATTTTTTAGATACATTTTGTGGAATAAAACGAAAAGCATTTAAAATATTTAATGTTCGTATTGTTTGCCAAAAATAAATCTTAAAAACTATTTAATTGTTTAAATTAAGATTTGAGCCAAAATTCTTCAGTAAAATAAATGCTCTTTTAATTAACATAAAAACTTATTTGTGTTTAAATATTTTG